ACTAATGCAGTGGGTATTCCTGGCTTCACCTGATGTTGTCACATTGGCCACCACACTTTCCTGTGAAAAACTTCTGGCTATTTTGGGCCTTTCCTGTTCTCAGATCTGCCTCAGACTCCCTGTTATTTCCTTCTGCATCCTCCAGCACAGACACTAATACTCTAAAGGACTTGTGGCTGTTACTTGTTTGAGCTACTAGCATGTATCTTGGGGCTCATGGGGATACCTATTGTCTAGTTTTGTTGTAAACGTTGTTCATGGGATTTTAGTTTTGCTGTCTGGTTTGCTATCTGTCTGTAAAATACACACGCAGACACACACACTCACTCACACTCATGGTGCTGGGGATCCCCAAGACCAGGTTTGAAGATTCACTCAGAGTACTCACAGGATTCAACACCGAGTCATACACATGGCTGTGAGTTACTACAGTGAAAAGATCCAAGGCACGATCAGCAAAGGGAAGAGGCACCTGGGTGAAGTCCTGAGGAAACCAGGCGTGTGCTTCTGAGAGTTCTCTCTCAGTGGAGAGGATGTACTTAGTTTCCTAGCATCACGCTGTGACATGTATGAAACGAGGGAAGCTCCTTAGAGACTCACTGCACAGGTTTTTATTGGCGGCTGGTTACCCAGGCAACCTCTGCCTAGCATGTGCCAAAATTCTAAACTCTCAAGGAACGTAGGTGTTCAGCTATAAACCATATGTTTTGCGCAAACACTTTAGGCAAAGTTAGCCACTCTTATCAGTCAGTGAGCCACTCTTTATCAGTTAGCATAGTGGGAACCCTCCCAAAATCCAAGTTCTCAGTGCCAGCCAAGGGCCAACCTTGAAAGCAGGACTTTGGCTTTGTAAGGATAGGCAGTCTCAAGCCTGCTTATTAAGTCTTATCTGCACACACACACACACACACACAAATGGGGAATTCAAGGAAATTCAAACATGCTGTCACCACCATAACTACTGTCTTCTCAGAGTCCTCCAGTTAAAAGGATTTTAAGCAAGACAGAAATATGTTCAAGTTTCCAGTTTTGAAGAGGTTATTGCTGCAGTAGTGTGAAGGATGGCTGGTGAGCCCTTGAGAATGGAGGCAAGCAGTAGCTCTGGTGGTGGTTGATTAGTGCTTGAAATAAGACACTGGAAAGCGAGAAGAGGGAGGGGGTGGACTCAAAAGGATACTGTATATATTTGTGTGTGTGTATATATGTATGACTCTATATGTAAATACATGTATATAGTGTCTAGAGTGTGTATATATATGAGACTAAAGCTATAAGAAAATATGAATGTACATTCTTTTTTTTTTTTTTTTAAAGATTTTATTTTTTACTTTTTCTCCCCAAAGCCCCCCCAGTACATAGTTGTGTAGTCTTCGTTGTGGGTTCCTCTGGTTGTGGCATGTGGGACGCTGCCTCAGCGTGGTTTGATGAGCAGTGCCATGTCCGCGCCCAGGATTCGAACCGACGAAACACCTGCAGCGGAGCGCGCGAACTTAACCACTCGGCCACGGGGCCAGCCCCTGAATGTACATTCTTATCTCTGCAAAGGGGAGGCTTTTCTAAGCATGAGAACAAAGTCTTAGTCGTGGGGACAAGTTTGATAAATTCAAGTACATAAAAATTTAAAATCTGACAAAAAGGAAGACCTGAAAACAATCAACAAAATTGAAAGGAAAATGGGATAAATATTTATACCTATGAGAGCAAGCTTTAATGTCCTTATTATATTAAGATCCATTCCAAATTACTATTTAAAAAATCTTAATAGCCCAATAGAAAATAAGCAAAGTAGATTAATGGACAATCCACAAAAGAAGGAAGACAAATGGTCACTTAGCATTTTTCAACCAAGAACCTTTAAAGCGTGAACAACAATGAAATACAAATTCTTTTATAAATTAGCAATTTTTAAAAATGATAGTAGTCAGGGTACTGGGAAATTGGAAATAATCTAAATGTCCAACATTAGTTATTTAGATAAATTGATATACTCATACATTCATTATTATCCAGCTATTAAAATCATGTAGTAGAAAATATTAATGACATGGCTAACTTTATATTAATAAAGTATGATCCCAAGTTTTCTGTTGATACTTTACTGAATGCACACAAACATATACAAATATAAAAATACTTAAAGGATATCCCCCAAAATGTTAACCAGTTTTTCTCCAGGTGGTGCCATTATGGATAGTTTTTCTTTTCTTTTTTGTGATTTTTTTTTTTAATTTCCAAATATTGATAGCAGAAGTCAGCACACTATGACCCGTGGGCTGGCCATTATTTTTTTAAATAAAGTTTTATTGTAACAGAGGCATGCTCATTCATTTATGTATTGCCTGTAACTGCTTTTGCAGTACAACAGCGTAAAATATTCTCTGACCCTTTAAGAAAAAGTTTGCCAACCCCTCACCTATAGTGAGTGACAGATTTTTCATATTTGGAAACAACCTCCCTCCTGCACAAGTGCACGCATTCCTACGTAATAATAATGTAAGAACAAAATAGCATTGCTTCTTAAAATGCTGGGGTTTCTTTTATCAGCTTCTGAAGATTTTTTTTCTTAGAAATAACTTGAATCTGGAACAAGATAGGGGCTTACTAAGTACTGCTGATACTAAAATGAATGGATACTTATTTTAAATAGACCTCAGTAAATTAATACTTCATTTATCCAGGATCATTGGATACTCTCTTCATGACATTCTAAAGAGATGATGATTTAATAGATGTGGAAAGTTCAGGAATGAAGGTCTGTTATCAGAGAGAGGAGGCATTTAAAGCAATCAGTGTGGCTACCTAAGGGTCTTTTAAGACACTACGTGCAAAAGAGGTTGAATGGGTACATAAACAACAATGAGTAAGAGTCAGAAACCTGTGAAAATAGTGGCAACAGCTACTGTGTCCCTGGCTCTGTGCAGAAATGCTATTTAATCCTCAAAATAACCTTGACAGGCAAACAAGAATATTTTATATTTTGTAGATGGGAACACTGAGGCTTGGAAAATTTAAATAATTTACCCAAGTCATACGGAGTTTGGCTGAGCTCTACTTAAATCCAGGTTTATCTGAGAGGAAGATTTATGATTTTTAGCCACTTTTTTTTTTCTTTTCTTAATGGCTTCCCATATAGGTCCACAGAATTTGAAGCAGTATATGGAATTTAGGTTTTGACTTAACCAAGAAATATGTTTATCTATTGGTAAAGTTCTGTTATGTAAAGTAGTAAGCTCCTTGTTCTCACCACATTCAAGCAGATTCTGGGTGACCATATTTTAAGGATGTTTTAGCAAATTCCTACTGTGGCTAAGAGGTTGAACTTTACAAACTTTGAGAATGCACAAGGTGTATGATTTTAACTAAGAGATTGAACTTTACAAATTTTGAGAATGCACAAGGTCTATGATTTTAATGGTGTTAATTTTTTAAAGTTCTTGTACATTTAATTTAATATAATTATTTAGATTATATGAAGGATCATAACTCTTAAAGTACTGCAGAAACCTTTTAAAAATTAATGTTTTGGTTATGTTTTGATAGGTTGATGTATGACTCTATAAACATTAATTCACTAAGGATCTCTATGTCTTTTATATGGTCAAGGTTCATGTAGTTTACTTTTCCTTGAGTATAGATCAGAGGAAAGATTTGTCTATTCAGATGGATATACTTTTCCTCAGCAAAAATGGAAAATATTATCGAACATTTTTGGTTTGTACTTTAGCCAAATGAAAATGAGGAGCCAAATTTAATGGATGACTGTAGTAATTATCTTACCTTAGGTGTCTGAATAACAAATACTCCTTTTGTTTCCTTAGACTCAATTTGTTTTGTGTTATTCCTAAATATTTTTTGCTGTTGAAGGCTGATATATGTTCTTTTAAAACATCTTAGAAGTAAGTAGAAAATGGGTTTCTAACATGTAAAAGCTTTGGTATCAAATCCTTTTGGAGTGTGATAGGTTAAACTAGATAGAAAAATAAGAAGCTCTCACATTAGACTTTTGTTCTGTGCCGGTCTTAGCTGGGACCTGTATGTATAGCTGCTATCTGCCTCCTAGAACCTGATTCGTTGCTCGACTTGGCGCTGTAACTTAACTGTTCGAAGGTGTCTTACAGCCAGTTTCCCTCTCTTGTGGATTCTACTTAATATTAATTTCTATGCTTACATTGCTGTTTCTGCACAGAGAAAAATTAGCTTAAATGTAAAACACTTAATTTTCAGCACAGTAAATGATAATATCAGTACAAGTTTGAAAGCAGCATTTTAGTAACAGTAGATGAAATTCATTCAGTTTTAATCCAAGACCTGTTTACTCAAAGTGGATCTTTGTTTATTCTGGTCCAGCAGAAACTAGAAAGAGAGAATGTCTCCACTGCCTCCACGGACCAGTGTTTAGAGAAAGGCCAGCATTGCCCTCAGGCTGATGCTTTTGAAACAATGGATATGGTTCATCCCCAGTCTAGAGAGTTGTCAATTCCCCCTTTGTGGATTAGTTAATTTTTTATTATGCTTCAAGTGTTGAATTGCCAGCATGTCAGATGCTTAGTTTAAATAAATATATCCAAATATCTAAAATACATACAGAAAACAAATATGAAATATTGCTTATTCCCTGCCAGTTTTCCTTTATTCTTATTTGTGATTTTGTTGTGACTGGGCGTTTTATTTATGGTGGATGTTCTAACCCTGATGAATTCATGTAGTTAATCTCAATGTATTGTATTCTTCCTTTGAAAAAGAGGAGATTGAGGTAACTGTACTCCACGATAATAAAATCATGACAAATATTCAATTACTAGTACATTGGTTATGTCTTGGGGTCATCTTATAGTCCACTAAATGATTTTATGGTTGTCATGATTGAAACCTGTTACTCTATAAACCAGAGAAGTCCTAAATCCTTTGTGATTAGTGGAGTTGGCCGTTATTTATATAGTTTATGTAAAATGTTCTTATGAATGCTTACAATTACATAAGATTTATTCTTATTTTTGTAGTCTGTTCGGCACTTAAAGTACTCCTTGTTTAAGAAATCGCTACTGGGCAGTGTTTTGGATAACGGAGTAGTTACTCTCTGGGATGTGAATGGTCAGAGTCCGTACCATAACTTTGGCAGTACACATAAAGCTCCAGCTTCAGGCATCTGTTTTTCTCCTGTCAATGAACTGCTGTTTGTAACTATAGGCTTGGATAAAAGAATCATTCTCTATGACACTTCAAGTAAGAAGTAAGTGAGACGTGCTCATTTCTTAATATAGTAACAAATGATTATCATCTCATTAGCAGATATGTTTGTGATTTATATAGACCTCTCATTAACGTTGAGAAGATCTAAAGTTTGTGTACTTGATAATCTAGTAAGATAGAATTTTCTCTTTTTCTTCCCCTGCAGAAAAAAATAGACAAAGCTTGAGTATTCTTCAGAGTACTTCTGGGTGGTGAATGTTGAGGGATAGCATGTTAATGATTTCACATCTTTATTTTAGCACACATGCGTATTATTCTTTTTCAAAATACAACTAAATTTGTATATTTTTAAAGCAATATGATTAATTTGCTTTAAAGTTAATTCATTATCTAGGGCAGGGTTTCTAAACTATTAACATCTGCGCTGGTTAATTCTTGGTTGTCCTGGGCGTTGTAGGATGTTCAGCAGCATCCCTGGCCTCTATCCACTGCCAGTAGCATCCCAGAATAAGCAAGTTTGCCACCGTTGAGAACCACTGATCTAGAGCTAAAGAGTACAAAATCTTCTAAGTATCTGAGTCCATTGTACCTTCTTGTCCTTCTTAGAGTTAGAGATGTGCTTGGTTATCTAAAAGAATAAAGGGAAAAAAGCTGTGAGGGTGCTGCAGGTGTATTCAAGACACCTAACAGTATCTAAAGATCACGTGGAAGAAAATGGTAATATCACCACCAGGGAAGGACTTACTGTCAGCCCTTGTTAACAGTTTACTCTTAGTTATTTCACTCTGTTTTTTTTTTTTTCTGTTTTACTCTTTTCTTTTTGAACTAATTTCCTGAGAACCCTAAGAGTTATAAACCATTCCTCTCTTATACCAGACACTCCAGCAAAGAGCTCAGCTTCAGCAGACTGGTATCCATTTTTCTGTATTAGCTTCCTGAGGATCAAGCCACATGGATTCTGTTAGCTTTTTGGTCCAGAGATCCATAGCTAGGAACAAAGTAGCAGCTGCTCCCTGTGAAAGGTCGTAGTCCTCTTGAGGCCTGTGCAGGCCAGTCAATGACAAGGGGATGCTTAGGATCCCCTTAACCTGAGGCTAGAGCTCTTGCCTATGGCGTAACGCCCAGGAATTCTGTCACATTCACTGCCAAAGTGATAATTACCCAAAGAAATAGGTGCTGCTTCTAGAAGATGTAGAATGAATCTATTGGAAATGAATAGAAAAATAGGATGGAGGGTTCAGCAGTTCCTAACATGCTGTTGTATTGGAAATGTCTCCAAGTCTAATTCTAAATTTCTGCTTTAAACAAGTATTTGGGATGTGTATTCTAAGTAACTTTACCAAATTCTAAGTAACTTTACCAAATTCTAAGTAATTAAGCAGTTATTTATATGTCATATAAGCGTATATACCTCGTACACTCACATGTCCTCTGTTCCTCAGGCTGGTGAAAACTTTAGTGGCTGATGCTCCTCTCACTGCAGTAGATTTCATGCCCGATGGAGCCACATTGGCGATTGGATCTTCCCGTGGGAAAATATATCAGTATGATTTAAGGACGTTGAAATCACCCGTTAAAACCATCAGTGCTCACAAGACATCTGTGCAGTGTATAGCATTTCAGTACTCCACTCCTCTTTCTAAGGTAGGGTATTTTCTTTCTTTTCGGCATTTTTTGTTTTATTAAATAAATCTAGCTCAGAATGTGGATATCATATGTTGTCAATCACACAGTGTAGTTTTGCTTTCTAATCATTTTTATATGAAAGCATTTAAAAAATTTTAATACAAAGCCATTTGATACTTAATTTTAAAACCATTTTTTTTTCACACTTAATTCTTATATTTCTCTCTCTTCAAACATGTTTTAAAAGACTTTTTTGGTTCAGAGGGAAACTCTCAGATCCACTAGCAAGCTTAAGATTTGTAAGGGAAAAAATATATATTTTTTTAACCTAACAGGGAATTTATAAAATATTAATGTATAGTATGGAGCATTAGAAACCTGAGCTTTTAAATATTCCATTACATTTCAGTCAAGTTTAAATAAAGGCTGTTCAACTAAGCCCACAGCTGTGAGCAAACGAAGCGTTAATGTGAACGCCGCTAGTGGAGGAGTTCCGAATTCCGGAATTGTCAGAGAAGTGAGCACCCCTTCCATTGCCACGGTTCTGCCACAGCCCATGACAACCGTTGTGGGGAAAGGAACAGTTGCTGTTCAAGACAAAGCAGGTAAACGTTGCTTGTATATAGTATTCGGAGTTTCCCCTTCCAAGTACTTATCATTAGCACTTTCTTCTAGTGTCCAGAACTCAAATTCATTTGAGTATTTAGGTAAAATTATTAGTAGATAGTGAAAATTGAAGAAGCGAAAATTCTAACTTTAGCTATAAATTTTTTTAAGTAAATGAAAGATATTTCACTTATTCTGTTTAGCTAAAGTTCTGTTGTAAGAAATACTGATTATCTTAAAAATGGGATAATGCCAATTTAGAAATTGTTCATCCTTAATGCCACTACAGACTGGATGACTTTCCATTGTGTCTTCCGATTAATCAGTAGAGAATGTGAAACTTTGATGGTGCTATTATGATTCCATCTCTGAGTTAAAAAAAAAGAAAACTATTAATGACTTCTTTTATTTCACAATTCAGAATGGAAAGCGAGTCAAGTGATGAGTTTTAAGTGCTGGATAGTGCCTGGCACATATTAAGCAGAATATTGGTTGTTAAAATAAAATAATGAAATAAACATAAATGAAAATATTGCAGTTTTTAAATAATTTCTTCTGCTCTGATAATCATGTTGATGAAACTACTCTTAAAGAATTCATTTAGACTTTGTGAAGGTATATATGATAAGCTTCCTCATACTTATTGTAGAAAATATTGTTTGCGACAATAAGGATCATATTCCTTAAATTCCTGAAAACCTTTTTGTTTTTATTTTAAGAAATTATGCTATACTGTCAACTTGCGACATATTTTTAAAAGTCTACATGGTATATGTAGATATTTCCAAAATAGTCTCATTAGAAATGGATGTATCCATGTCTTTTTTAATTTTCAGGACAAGTACTTGACTTGGACAAAAATGTGTTTTGGTGCCTTCTCAGTGAGTGAGTTTACTATTTCCAAGTAGAAGGAAAAGTAATTTGTTAGACTTGATAGTGTGAAATAGTTTTTTAAAAATAATAAGTATATTCACTGTAAATTTTCTGTGAATATCTACATCATCCTTACAGAAAAATCATTACATACTATGTAGAAAAGTAATTAGGTTCTTCAGAACTCCTGGAAACAAATAGTGTTACTCTCTATTTAAAAGAAGAAATTCTTTTTGAAATATAACTTTAAGTAATGTTTGCCAAGGTGTTGAATTAACTGTATTATGAAATTGTCATTATTTTAAAAAATTATTTTATTTTCATGGTATTAATTTTATTCATAACTTTCAAAAATTAAATGAAAGAAAGATTCTGTCATTTACTGTAAATTTTTTGAAGCCTCCCTGTTATTCATTTAGTTTTTATCAAGGAAGCTCATGCATAACGATGACAGCATTAATTAGAAAATGGAAGACTTGGGTGTTCAGGGTCACTGATTAATGATAACTTTTGGCTGATGAGCAAAGTTTCTGGCAAAATGAATGTTTACTGTGCACCCACAAAGAGTTAGACATTTTGTTTATTTTATTTTGAAATAATTGCAAACTTATAAAAAAGTTTCAATAGTTGTACAAAGAACTCCTGAGTTCTAATACCCTTTAGCAGGTTCACCATTTTATAAATTTTGTAAAATTTATAAATTCCCCATTTTTGCCACATTTGCTTCATCATTTTCTCTCTCTCCATACACACACACACATACACACATGCACGTGTGCGTGCACATGTACCTTCCCCGCCTCTGAAACATTGAGAGTACGTTAGACTTAAGTCTCAGGGCTTTCACTTCCTATTAGGGTGACATTGGGCAGTTTTCTTAACCACTCTGAATCTCATTTTTCTCTTCCATTTATAATACTTAACGTTTAGCATTACTGTGAAAATCAGGGAAAATGTATCGAAAGTGCCTGGCACGTTGTAGGCACTTTGTAAATTATGCTATTGCTAATATTGTCATCATGATTATGATTATCACTATTACTATTATTTTAAGCTTCATGTAAAATAAGTCTAAAGTTTGAAAAAAAATTCATGTTTCTTCTACTGAAGGCGTCCTGATTTAGTTATTGAAAAGAGCCTCTGCAGACTTGTTGCTAGCACTTATTTTCAGTAGGAAACATTTATTTAAGAAGTAAAAAATTAAGGCTTTGGCAGTATTTTAAATGATATCAAATTTCTGTTTCCTAAAGTTCCAGAGGCTAAAGTTATGCATTCAGACAGGTTAGGGACCTGGTAAAAAGAGAGGAAATTTCTTCTATAAAACAGTTTAACTCTTAGTCTTAGTGTAAACACCCTTCCATGATGGTGATATACAAATGTTTGGTTCTATTTTAACTTTCTATCAGGTGTTATCAGAAAAATTTATTTCATTAGCCAGGCTTGGACATTTTTGGATATACTGGCTGTTCTTTGTTTTTTTCCCAGGCTTTTCAGTTTTTATTTTGGAAATAAATGACAAAACACTTTTTAAAATGTAGTGCTGTAACATGCTACCGATTGAATTGCCAGACTTTCATCAAAGCTCTTGAATCTCTAGAACTCAGTCTTTAACCCAAAAATGAGCAAGAAGCTACTGAGCCTGCAGAGTTCATCTGACAAAGTCCCTGGCCTAAAGGCATGCCTCCACTCTGACTGAGAATAAACTGCTGCCTGCCTCCTTAGGATATCTACTTTCCTATTCTTTATGAGTTTGGTATTCCGTTTTCCTTCCTCTTAGTAAACTTTCATGAGGTTAGTGAAGTCATTTGAGGTTGATAATGCTGAGAGCAATGTTAAGCTCCCACTGTTAGTGAAGAAAAAACAGAAGGGGAAAAAGAGATGTCCATTCACTGCAAGCTGAGAAAAGGAACTGGCATTACTTGATGCTGCTATATGTTAGGCATTGTGTGATACACCTTACAGGCTTTTAAAAAATCGTTTGTAGGTGATCATAAGAGTGAGTCAGTCAGTAACAAAAATAAGTTGTGGTCAGTATACTTTGTTTAAGACGGAGGCAAAATAAGTTATTTTAGAAAAGTTCCATCAAAATGGCTGGTGGTGTTATATGGATAAATAAGTTAATTGGCTTTTGAGGAGCCCTTCATTCCATGCAAATGTTAACTAAGCTATTGTTGTATTCTGCTTTCTTGTCCTCATGCTTGCAGTGTTAATATTACCAATAATGTGGGTAATGCATTAATTTTTGGAACCTAGCTTCTGATAAATTTATTTAGATGTAGTAACACTTATTTTTATATCTAATTCCTATCAGGTTTGCCTCGAAGCATAAATACAGATATTTTAACTAAGGAAACAGACAGTGGAAAAAATCAGGATTTCTCTAGCTTTGATGATACTGGAAAAAGTAGTTTAGGTGACATGTTCTCACCTATCAGAGATGGTAAGTCTGTTCAGATCAGAGGATCATGTTCTCTTGCTGGTAGTCATTACATTTTTATTATGGCTAAAAGATATGGGTAATATCTTCAGTCTAACTCTATTCATGACAGTTTGCTTAATTTTGTCAATCCCCGGGGTGGTATCTTTTCCTTTGCCCTGATATTTCAAATGTTATCATTCCAAAATATGTGCTGGTAATTTTCACATGGGAACTCTGCAAATAGCTCTCAAGTTAGCATTTTAATTTCCACAGAAGTTTTGCCTCCATAGGCAGTCTTTTACTTCTATCTACTTGTAAATAGATCTTCCAAAATTCTTGTATGATTTTGAAAGGCAAAAAAATATCTTCCTAACTTAAAAAAATTTGTTTCTTTGATTATTAGTATTTAATTGGTATTTATTAAGTGTTTTCTTGGAGAAACATGGCTAGGTGATAGATTGCCTCATCTTTTACACTAATTATATGTGGAAGTACCATACACTCACACACATTCTCTGCTTTGCTAGTAGATTGTTGCCATTAAAAAGAAGAAAAACCCAAACTTGGCCAGCTTAATAACTGGAAACATTATATCTCATTGTTCTTCACACTGTATGAACTAGGTGTGGGGTTTGGCTGTGCTTTTTGGTACTATTGTTCGTGCCGTTTTCCTTAATGGGCTAGTCTCACTGTTCATAGCAGTATTGTCAACAATATGGTAAATTTCTAGAGGATATTTTGGCAGACTTAAATATTCATACTTTTTGGCCAGTTTACTAAGAAAATTTTCAGAGAAGGTGAATGGTACAGAATTATTAGGTACAGAATTATTAGGTGACAGTACAGAATTATTGAGTGTCTTCTGCCTTTACCCCATCCTGAAAATCACTGCTAAAATTGCTTGGTCAGATTCCCCAGTCTTCAACCTAATGAAAGAGGAAGGATTCCTTTCATTCAGGATGAAGAGAGGTCAGGCTACATAGTTAAAGAGTAAGTAGAGGAAAGATGTGAGCAAAGGAGGGAAAAGTGGCTTGGGCTGGATTGAGAAAGGTTTTGGAGGTTGGTACCCAGTTGGGGAGCTTGGCTTATGAGAAGCCTGGAGTAACTTGTGGTCTGAATGGTGTAGGAAGGGGCTTTTTGGAAGTGTTTGAGTTATAAATGAAATCTTCTTTAATTGTTTTTAGGAGAAATGAATAAAGGATAGAAATTCTTCTTTAATTACTTTTGCTATTTTTAAAAGTAGGATTAGAATTTGAACCATATGCCCTTCATTTATTAGAGTTTCATGTTATTGATAAGGAAGAAACATGAATGCTAAATATAGTATTGGTTTTCATAGTCAAGAGATTTGTGTTTTAATCTCAAGGATGCAACTCTACTTAGATAAAAGGCTTAACCTTTTGTGCCTCAATTTCTTCATCTTTTAAACAAGAATATGTCTGTTTTTGTTAAGAGAAAACTAATAACTTCTAAAAATGTGTGGTGCTGTGCACTGGCTAGATGTGTATACACATGCAGAGAGATGGACAGATGGATGTATGGATGGGTGAATGATAGTCCTACTAATATGATAATAATGTATGGTAATTTGTTGGCCGTTTGAATTTCTGGTGAATTTTTTTGACCTTTGCCCATTTTTCTATTAATCTGTTAAAAGGGAGTCAAACAATTTTTGGTCGTTAATTGGTAAATGAATAATATTACAGTACTGAAATATTCTCATATGTATTCTACCATTGAAATAAATATTAATAAAACCTTATGTTTTTTATAACATGGTATTGCTTGCAAAATATGTTTACATTATTTCAGTTGTTCCTCAAAACAATCTTGTGAAATGGTCAGGGCATACTCCCCATTATATAGATGCAGAAACTGAAGCTTAATTGTAGTAAAGTCTTGTCCAAGGTCACAAAGCTTTTAAGTGGTATAGGCGGAACTGGATTACAGATCTCTGCAGCCTACTCCAGTGCTTTTTCTAGTGTACTTTTCTGTGTCGTTAAGTGACTCTATGCCATAGAATTCTTTTTGTATTTGCATCTATGTATGAAGCTAAAAAAATAAAAAGGAAGTTTATATGAGTACTAGCTTTAACTTCCCTAGAGATTTTCCTTCTTAAAATCGTTAGTCTCTGTACTCTTTAGGAGTTTAATAGGAAACTTAAGTTGCTATGGCTTCTTTTTCACTATTTCTAAAATTTGTTTTTCTAATTTTGTTATAGATGCTGTAGTTAACAAGGGAGGTGATGAGTCCGTAGGCAAAGGAGATGGTAAGAACTATTGAGAAATATTTTTATGAAAATTAAAAGTGGTGTTGTGTTATTTATTGCTGTGTAACAAATTACCCCAACATTTTGAAGCTTAAAAGAACAAACGTTTATCATCTCACAATTGTGGCTTAAGAATCCAATCATGACGTAGCTGGGTGTGTCTGGCTTCAGGTCTCTCTTGATGCTTTAATCAGGGTGTCAAGAGGGCTGCAGTCATCTCAGGGCTTGACTGGGCGAGGATCTGCTTCCAAGCTCATTCATGTGGCCATTGGCCAAAGACACCAGTTCCTTCCCGCGTGGGCCCCTACAGGGCAGTGGACGACATGGCAGCTGGCTTCCCTCAGAGCTGGTGAGCAAGAGAGTGAGAGAGGGCACTCAGATGGAAGCCACAGTGTTTGTAACCTTATCTTGGAAGTGAAAGCCCACCGCTCTTGCTATATTCTCTTTGTTAGAATCAAGTCACCACTAGGTCCATCCCACAGTCAAAGGCCAGATGACACGAGTGCGTGGATCCATGCCAGAAGGCAGGGACGCTTAGGAGCCATCTTAGAGGCTGCCTGCCAAGATCTACTGCAGGTCTACCACATTAACAGTTTTCAGTTATCAAAAACTAATATCGACTGAAATGTTCATTGTGTTTTGCAGTTTTCAAAATATTTTCATATACAATATCTCTTTTAACTCTCACCACTCAGGGAGATAGATATCATTCACATTCATAGATCAGGAAACAGTCACAGAGCTTTATGACTTTTGCCCAAAAATACACATCAAGTAAGGGGTAGAGCTGACAAATGAACCTATCTTCTAAATCCAAATCACATGTCTTTCTACCGTATTGACCTGTCTGTCGTGTTATGTTCTTTTCTTAAATATGCAAGATTGGGGAACATCATATGCAAATGCTGTTTTTTCTCTTCTTTTTCAGGCCTTGACTTTTTACCACAGTTGAACTCAGTGTTTCCTCCAAGAAAAAATCCAGTAGCTTCCAGTGCTGCAATACTGCATTCTAGTCCTCTGAATGTCTTTTTGGGCTCTCCAGGGAAAGAAGAAAATGAAAATCATGATCTGACAGCTGAATCTAAGAAAATCTATCTGGGTAAACAGGAACCTAAGGACTCCTTCAAACAGGTACCTGCCTGAAAATGATACTGAACTCACTGTGTGTGTTTATCACTAGCAAGAATAAGGGAGCTCATCACTGGAGAGCCGGCAGCTGCCAGTGGGTGTGTCCTAATTATTGACAGTTCTGGGCACTTACTAGGTAGAAAAATCTTCTTAAATCTTTATGTCACATGTTAAAAACTAAAGGGTACTTTTGAAATCTTTCTTTGGATATTTTGGAAGTAATAGCAGATGTAAACTTATACTGTCTTTTTCTAAGACAAGATACTTGATTTAACTTTGTAAGAATATTTTATACCTGAATTCTTTTAAAATGTGTTTCTATTGCAACAGAAAGCACCAATTTGGTGGTCAAGTCATCTACCCTAAGCCTTAGAGCAAACTGATGGTGCTAAGAATGTAATTCATCATCATTACTTCAGCTATAGTATAGTATCCAATGTAGAAGTGGTTTTTTTGCTTGTGATTGCCATTTTAAATGATATTCAGCACCAGATGCTTAGTAAATCAGCTTTTCCTCATCTTGTTATCATTGAAGTTGTTTTTGATTAGTAAACTTGATTTATTTTGGGACTAGTCCTAGCAATTTCTTTTTCTCCTTCTATGTCCCTTCCTATTCTTTTGTTCCCTGACCCTACCTACTGGGACAAAAGAGAAAAGCAAGTGTAAATTATATGGACAATATGGATAAAACCAGAATTTATATATTAATTGTTTATTTAAAATGTGAAGTTTGCACAGTTGATCTCTGGTGCTGAAACTGGAAATCTGAATACCTCTCCATCATCTAATCAAACGAGAAGTCCTGAGAAATTTGAAAAGCCGGAGAAAGAAATTGAAGCCCAGTTAATACATGAAGCCCCGGTCAATGGATCCTCAACTCCAAGTGAGTACATAACACTTCCTGATGTTTGAAAGTGTTAAGTTGAAAACTCCCACTATTAACTTGAAAAGGATAAATAGGGTGATCATGGACTGAAAAAGTTCAAGGAGTTTAAAATTTATGACACTTCTCTAGTGTAACTCTCTTACTGAAAGACAATAAAATGTGTATGAATGGTTAAATTCAACCATGTTGATTTGATATTCTTTTGGTGTGAATTTCATTTTCAGTCTAATTTGTAAGTGTCTTGATCTAATATGGTACAGATAGGAATATAATGTAGGACCCTTTGAAAATGGGTCATTAACTACTTGAGATTATCTCTTTTTTTTTCATTGAAGTCCTAACCATAGAGTTCATGCAACCCACCCTAAAAACTTGATCACATTTAAAGGGATGTTAGTATTAGGTTCAGCTCTGTTGTCTACCATTCAAAGCAACTCTTTGTATAGAAGCAACTCTTTTTATAGACATCTGTAGTTGACTTTAGGTTTTCCATGGATATATTGTGTTAGCTTAAACTCTGGGGCTTTGCCTGTAGCACTACTTTACTGCTGTACTCCTTCTGTTTGTTTTTAATAGTCTTGGTTTATCTAGTTTGTGGTGCAGCTTGTCACATTCATCTTTTATAAGAGGAAATGGTTTGGAGATTCTTCAAGATTAATCCCTCTGTCGTATGTTATTACATTAGACAGTTGGCAGTTTATATATATAGATAGATGACTATTAGAAATTATGTCATAGAAAGTTTCTAAGATTTGTATTCCAGACTGAATTTTTCTAAATGTCACAGGAACACTGTTCTTTACCAGTTTTTCAAGTTTTCTCATGCCAAATCTTATTTAGAAATGTTTGATGTCTCTTAGTCCAAGTTGACTATTAATATTTTCCTCATTTTTTATTTTAGATCCAAAGATAGCATCCTCTGTCAGTGCTGGAGTTGCCAGTTCACTATCAGAAAAAATAGCTGATACTATTGGAAATAATCGGCCAAATGCACCATTGACATCTGTTCAAATCCGTTTTATTCAGAACATGATACAGGAAACATTGGATGACTTTAGGTAGTCATTGTGAAATTCCTCTTTCTACCTAGAATTTTACTGTTTTTTTTTTATTAGATGTAAAACTAGAACTGTAAGTAGTGTTGGTGGTTTACTGCTTTTGCCTAGATTCTGGTGTCCATAAAACCATAGAAAACATTATGAGTTTTGTTGATCTTGATGTACTGAATTTATTGAATATCAGCCAGGAAAAGGCACATTTGCCGAGGGCAATTATTAGATAACTTGGCAGGACAGTCTAGCAGGCAGGCTGCCATTGTGAATTTTGTAATCATCAAAATTTGGACAGATTCTGGTAAGCTCAAGTGGGATTCTTATATACAGTATTTATAGATCTTATATTATAGATAAGTATGCTATGTGCAGTAATGTAGTAAAGAAAAATATTTTTTAAAGGAGTTCTGATTACTTTCAGATAGAATACATCATAATGTAATACTTAATTTAAAAATATTCTTGCCCAGATCTACCCTTGGCTTCTCATCCTTTGGATTTTGAACAGTGTGAGAATGCTGCTTCCTTTTACTTATCTCAATATACTTTGGAAGCTATTTTCAATTGTTAGAATCTTTTTTTTCCCTTTCTGATCTATATTTACTTAGTATTCTAGCTCAGATTTGGATTATTGTGAACAAGAATGTTGGAGAAGAAACACAGTTTTTGTTGGTGCATGTTTCTTTTTAATGTTAAAAATGCTTCAATATATATATTTTTAAGGGTTAACAAATAAATTTTTAAGGAAAAATCATCGTTTTGGCATTTGCGCTGTGCCTAGTATATGTACTAGATAGTAAGGGTGCAAAAAGGAATGATCTGTCCGCAAAGGCCTTATGATTTAATTGGGATTGGTACAGTGTCCTGCCATGGTGTGTGTTTCTTTAATGTGGATTAATTCACTTGTGATTGGTAAATAGGGGAGTGATGACAATGTGATGAGGAGATTTTGTTGCTTCATGTAACAGCAGCCAAAACAGTGTCCATCTCTTCCTTTTCCCTTCCTCTTAACTTGGTTTGGCTGTCTGCCTTGTGTTAGGAAGTACTAATTTTGTGATTATTCCCCATCTTTGCACATTTTATCCTTGCCTCCATGCTTGACACCCCCAATCCTTCCTTCTATCTTCTTTCCCCTTTTATCAAATGAGTCACTTTTTTTAAGGTAAAGACTTTTATTATTTAATATTTAAACTATGCCGGTATTTTTATTAGAATTTGTTTTTGTTAGTGCCTTGGTTACAGAGTTGCATAAATTTTAAGTGTCACAATCTTTTTTCTTTAAGTCCTGTTATTTTCTTTTCTCTTAACTTTCTTTTTATTGGTTTTATTGTGATAAGAACGCTTAACGTGAGATCTACCCTTTTAATAGACTTTTAATTGTACAATACAGTATTCTTAACTATAAGTACAATGTTGTACAGCAGATCTCTCCAACGTGTTCTTTTTGTATAACTGAAATTTTATACTCGTTGATTAACAATTCCGTTTTCCCTTCTCCCCAACCCCTGACACCCGTAATTCTGTTCTTTGCTTCCATGAGTTTGACTGTTTTAGATATCTCACGTAAGTGGAATCACGTAGTATTTGTTCTTCTGTGACTGGCTTATTTTACTTAGCCTTGTGTCCTCCAGGTTTATCCATGTTGTCACTTATTGCAAGATTTCCTTCTTTTTTAAGGCTGAATAATACTCCATTATGTATATACCATATTTTAAAAATCTGATTCTGTTAATTTCAATGCACAGTTTTAAAGAAAACAAGGTTTTCAGGAATACATATATATGACAAAATAGCAGAATTGTCTGGATACAACTGACTATAATATGTGGATAAAGCAATGTTGGAAACACAGAAAGGGAGCCGTTCTTCTGCTGGGGCAGAGTTAGAAAGATATCGCTGCCCTGCCTCAGCTTTCAGCTGCCTTGCATGCCTGTACCTGGGGAGTTGGGGTACAGGGGGCCTGCAGAGGTCTCTCTGAGCTCTTCCGCCCCTCTGTCAACAATAGGCAGTCTCTTCTTGGGACTCAGTGAGGACTCAGAATGGCTCAGAAGATCTCTGTAAATCCACCTGCCCTGACCTCAGGTCTTGCACAGCTGCGCCTTACAGTGGACGGACAGAAGAGGGTGTTGAGGGGCCATGAGCTGTTCTCCCTCAGCTCTGGCGGCTGCCTTCTCCACGGGGGCCTGAAGTGCTTCGGAGGGCTTACTCTCAGTTCTCCTCCCCTGCCCTGAGTCTTCACCAGGCTCTGTGCATCTGTGCCTTGGGGAGTGGGGGTGGGGAGTGGGAGTGGGATGGGGTTTCTCTCAGCCCTCCTGTTCTGCCTCTGAACTTTTACATAAGCAATGAATGAAGGCCTGTGGGGCAAAGTTGGTGGGTGAACGGAGATTTCTTTGTGACTGGGACTCTTTGGGATTCTAAACTGTTGTTCTAGTCTTCACTTGGCCTTTAAAAATCTGTAAAAATTTCAAGTAGTTCTTAACCCTATCCATGGCAGCTTTCTTCCCCCACTGCTCTGTCAGGGATGAAAGCAGTCATGGGGCTCTCTTCTCCTAGGAGGACTCATCATTTTCTGGATTTTAGTTAGTTTAGGTTTCTTTGCAATCTCAAAGTTGAATTTAAAAGTGTGTGCTTTTATAGATTCTCTGGCTCGTTCTCGTTAGGGTTGGAGAGATTACATCTTAAGTGGAAGTCTGTGGGTCTATTCCTGTTATCTTTCAAGAAGACCTAAGTTTCTTCTGACAGGTAGATCACTTTGATCCTGTACTTGCTGGGTTTCAGGTCTTCTTAGGGCCAGTTTATTTCTGGTTTGCCTTTATTCCTAAGGTTTTGTCTGTGCCCTTCTAGGATCTCAGCTGAATGTCTGGAGTATTCACCAGGCCTTTTTGCCTTGGTGGGTCCTGAAATTTAACCTCCATTTCCCCAGCATCTCAAGGCTGCCGAAATCTGTCTCTACTCTTTAGCTGCTACTTTATTTTTGGTTTCCTGTCATCTAGCCCTGTGTGAGCATTGCTTAGGAGCCAACAGATGTCTCGAGGGGAAATTGCAATTTCAGATTTACTTTTCTGCAGCTTCCCCGTTTTCAGGATCTTGGACCTGGCAGCCTTGGCTGCCTTGGCGGTCCCAAACTCTAAGACTCCCCGACCCAGTGAGACTCTCAAGTTCTAGCGCTGTGTTTTCAGCTCAGCCTCTTTTCTCACACTGTGGAATCAGCACATCCCCCAGAGGGAAAAGCAGAGGTAAACGTGGGGCTTACCTCATAGATTTCCCTTCTTTGCAAGACCTCGGCCCCTCAGATCCTGGCTACCTTAGTGGTTCTCTGATTCCTTCAACTTTAATACAGCTTCTGTCATAACTGAAAGCAGAAGAGAAAATTTTTTTAATAGACCCTTATATTTGCAATGGAAAAAATGAGGTTCCTTAGGAGTAAATGTAACCAAAGATGGTAAAAGATCTTTATAGAAAAACATTAAAAAAATTTATTAGAAAGCATTAACACTTAAATAAATGGAAAGATGTTATGAAGATGTCAGTTCCTCTAAATTGGTCTATAGATTGAATGCAATTCCAATCAAATCCCAACTGGGTTTTTGGGAAGAAGATGATGGGATAATTCCAAAATGTATATGAAAGAAGAAATGATCTGGGAATAACCAAGAGACTTTATGGAAGAATAGGTTGAAGGGGACTTGTTTGTCAGATGGATAAGCTTAATTATTAAGCTATAATTAAAATAGTGTAGCATTAGCATGGGGTGGACAAATTGCCCAAAGCAATCAAATAGACCAGAAAGAAACCTATGCATATATGGAAATGTGATGTACGAGAGGAAAAGTATGGATCCCTATTCCATGCTATTAAAAAAGTCAGAGTTTAAATGTAAAGGGAAAAAGTTTAGGCATCGTAAGAGAATTTATATATGACTTCCGAGTAGGGAAGTTATTAAAAAATAGGAGGATACACTATCTATAAAAATAGATTGGTAAATTTGACCGCATTTTTCGGTTAGTAAATTTGAGAATACTAATAAGATCTGTTCATCACAAGACACCATTAACGATGTAAAGGGGAAAAAAGTCTGCAGTACTTGAATAACCAGCAAAGGATTAGGTTATGTAAAGAACTCATAGATAAATAAGAAAAAAAGACATTCAATAGAAAAATAGTTAAAAGACACTGAAAGATATTTCACAGAAGAGGAATGGTATATGAACATAAGGAAAGATGCTCAACCCTGTGATTAATCAGAGAATTGAAAATGTAGTGCAGTGCCATTTCACACCCGTTCGATGAGAAAATACTGTACGAAGTCTGGCAACACCAAGTCTTGGTGTGGATATAGAGCAAGAGGAACTCTGTTATACTGATGATGAGCATGTCTATTGATACTACCACTTCGGAAAACACTTTGTATTGTTTTGTAAAACTAAAGAAGTATACGTCTGGATCATACCTATAACTCAGCATCTACAGAAATTGGCACATATAGGTTGGGAGATATATCCATGATTGCTTATAAAAACATTGTTATAATAAAAACTTTAAAACAATCCAGATGTTAACTGACAGGAAATCGTATACACCAGTATAAGTCAGTGTGTTACAGATATATAGAACATGAATCTTGAAAACATGATATTTGATTATTTTTTAAATGTACACTACTCAAAACTACATAGGGTGTGGTCCCCTTTTTATAATGCTCAAAAGCAAGTACAGCAAAAATATATTGAGTACAGATTCCGTGTTATACAAATGTGTTTTTTTAAATTGAATTCATAATAGTTTACAACATTCTGAAGTTTCAGTTGTCCATTATTTCTTGTCCGTCACCGTAGAAGTGCTCCCCTTCACTCCCTGTGCCCACCCCCAGCCCCCTTCTCCTGGTAACCGCTCAACTGTTCTCTTTGTGTGTTTGTTTATATTCCACATATGAGTGAAATGATACAGTGTTTTTCTTTGTCTGGCTTATTTTGCTTAACATAATACCCTCCAGGTCCATCTATGTTGTGAATGGGATGATTTTGTCTTTTTTTTGTGACTAAATAGTATTCTATCATGTATATATATATATATATATATATATACACACACACACACCACATCTTCTCTATCCAGTCATCAGTCGGGCACTTGGGTTGCTTCCACATCTTGGTTATTGTGGATAATGCTGCAGTGAACATAGGGGTGTGTAAGTCTCTTAGGATTGTTGATTTGAACATCGTTTCATATGCCTGTTGGCCATCTGTATATCTTCTTTGGAAAAATGTCTGTTCATATCCTCTGCCCATTTTTTGATTGAGTTGTTTGTTTTTTTGTTGTTCAGTTGTGAGTTCATTATATATTAAGGAAATTAACCCCTTGTTGGATATATGATTTTCAAATATTATCTCAGAATTTGGTGGATTGTCTTTTTGTTCTGATCTTGGTTTCCTTTGCCTTGCAGAAGCTCTTTAGTCTGATGAAGTCCCACTTGTTTATTTTTTCTCTTGTTTCCTTTGTCCAAGAAGACATGGTATTTGAAAAGATCCTTTTAAGATCGGTGTCAAAGAGTGTGCTACCTATATTTTCTTCCAGAAGTTTTATGGTTTCAGTTCTTACCTTCAAATCTTTGATCCATTTTCAGTTTATTTTTATGTATGGCATAAGATGATGGTCTGCTTTCCTTCTTTTGCCTGTGGCTGTCCAGTTTTCCAAACACTATTATTGAAGAGACTATCTTTTCTCCATTGTATATTCTTAGCTCCTTTGTCGAAGATTAGCTGCCCATAGATGTGTGGTTTATTTCTGGGCTTTCAATTCTGTTCCATTGATCTGTGTGCCTGTTTTTGTACCAGTACCATGCTGGTTTTATTACTATAGCTTTGTAGTACATTTTGAAGTCAGGGATTGTGATGCCTCCAGCTTTATTGTTTTTCCACAGGATTGCTTTAGCTATTCGGGCTCTTTCGTTGCCTCCATATGAATTTTAGGATTCTTTGTTCTGTTTCTGTGAAGAATGTTATTGGGATTGCATTGAACCTGTAGATTGCTCTAGGTAGTATGGACATTTTAACTGTTTATTCTTCCAATGCGTGTGCCTGGAGTATCTTTCCATTTCTTCATATCATTATCGTGATCAACGCTTCCACCTGTCACTACTGGGTGGGGGTCAAGAGCTGCATATTCCAAGCACGCTGTAATCCACAGGACAGCTCCAGGTGCTGGTCTGGGGCGCCGCGCGTGGGGAGGAGCACTTTCTTTCTCCTGCATAATCTTGGGGGCTTCTTGCTCTGCCCTTGCTGTCTGCTCTCCTGGGGTGTTGGCTTGATGAAGACACCTCTGTGAAAGCTAGTCACATCTGTAGGGGCTTTCCCCCAGGCTGTGAGGGACCTTGGAGATCTGTGGTGGTCTGCAGAGGGCCACCACTCCCTCCCTGCTTTCCTCCCGGAGGCCACGCGCAGTCCCTAGGTTGCTGTCCTTCAGGGAGGAAGAGATGCATTCTCATACCTTGTTCCAATTCCTTAGGGCAGGGGTGGGGGCTCCAGCACCTCCACCTTCTGAGGTATGGCTGCGTGGGTCTCTCAGACATCTTTTGTGTTGTGTGGATGTCCTCTGTTGGAATGTGAATGTCCTTTTTGTTGTATCTTTGAGGGGAAAGTTTACAGGGAGGACTCACTCTGCCATGATGCTGATGTCACTGTATACAAATGTATTTTTTTTTTTTTTCAGCATTTGTTTGCTTAAACAAAATTCAGCAGAATAGTTACTTCTTTCTTGGTCTTCTCCCAAGAGTTAAGCAATGGAATCAGGCAGGAGCACACAGGAAGCTTCTATGATCTTGCTAGTTAGTGTTCCAGCTCATAAATTGTGTGATGGGTGACTGAATGTTTCTTTTATTGTTATACTTCATAATTTTCATGTATTCTTTTCTAGTCACGAATTAATTGTATTTTATTGAGTAACCTCTGTAATAACCACCCAAATAGCCCTTTTCCATTCTATTGGAAGTATTTTTTTAATAGCAAAAATATTGATAATAGTTAAAGCATTGTAACCTAGTGAATTATCTGAATTTCATTGTAGTATAAACATGTCTTTCCTTGATAATTTCTATATTCAGGAATGTAGTGTAGTGAGAGTTCTGGAGGCAGACAGCTTTGGTTTATATCCTGGCTCCACCATTTGCTGGTTCTATGACTTTGGATAAGTTATAACTGGTCTATGGATTATTTGCTTCATTGGTAAAACAGAGGTAATAATTGTATCTAGTTGTGAAGATTAAATAAGTTCTTACATTTAAAGTACAAGAAACAGTGCCTAGCATGTAGTAAATAAATGCTAGGTGCATTGGTATTTTTATTATTGTAATAATAATTATTAACATACAATAATTTGAAACCAAAGTTTAGCCAGTTTCTTGAATGATCTAGAAGTGGTAAAACTGTTATAATTCTAACAAGTATTTTATATTCTTCCCTAGAGAAGCATGCCATAGGGACATTGTGAATTTGCAAGTGGAGATGATTAAACAGTTTCATATGCAATTGGTATGTATGACAAATTTTGTTTTAAATGAGTGAGGAGTTGTGGATCTGAAAAATCCATTCAAGGACAATATATTTTTACTTAGTTATATCTATTTGCTAAATAAATAAACAGGGAGTTTTAGAAATTTACTAAGTAAAATAGATTTTAACTAGTCATTGTTCTTTTTAACCTATGATAGTTAAGGCTATTTTTTCACAGGTTTGTTTTTCATTTTGTTTTTTAGTAAGTAATCAAAAAGCTTCCCAAATGTGCAGATGTAAGCCTTTCAAATATATAAATTTCACCAGTGATCTTTCATTTATATTAATGAAGTCGTTTGGGTGGTTAAGTACAAGAAATATGATTCAGCTAAGTTAATTGAACATGAGAGAAATGATAGCTGAAAGTGTGTAAAACAGCTTGCCAAATAAATGTAAAATACCAATAATTTTAAAAGCATTTTTTCCTCTTTCTAGAATGAAATGCACTCTTTGTTGGAGAGATACTCAGTGAATGAAGGTTTAGTGGCTGAAATTGAAAGACTACGAGAAGAAAACAAAAGGCTACGGGCCCACTTTTGAAATTTCAGTGAATACCTTAATGTTTTGTAATTCGAGAAGTTTCTGGCAACACAGAACTACGTGAAATCAGTATTGTTTTCATGGCCTCTGGGAAAAAATTTTTTTTCAAGTAAAAGCGTGATGGAATTTTATACCAACCACTATTTCATCTTCTCTGACTGTCAAAAAATATTTATATTTTTATATTAAAAACTGTATAATGTCATCAAGTAGGAAACCAACAGGATCTTTATTTTCTGAAAGCTTTAGCTATACACTAAGTGCCCTTTTTCATAAGAGTAGAAAACTGTGCAAAAAAAGGTTATGTATGTTTTTTAATTTCCTTTTTTAACAGATATATTTTTGATTGACATTTGTCTTCCAAATTTTTTTGGATGTTTGAGGATTAAAGAGTTTGATATGCCTTCTATTTTTATGAAAGTAATTTTCAAATGGCAATTGGTATTTCTAAGCAGTTGACTAATAAAATACAAGGTTGGTTGGTAATTATTTTGTTAGCTTGATGAAGTCAAGTATGACTATTATTTATTACTTGTACATTTGATAAGACAATTTTTGGAATTTTGAATTGCACAGATTACATTATACCTATTGTGTTTATGTTACTGTATAATACTTCTGACAAATCTCTACTCCTGGTTGATTTTTTTTTAGTTAACTTCACTTTACCTATGATAACTTTTAAAAGTTTATAAGACTTAAGCAGAGCTGAATTTCTCATGATTATTTCATGAATTAATAAATACAAAATTATACAGTAAAGTTTCAGTCAACATGATTAACTTATAATCAGTGAAAATTTCATATTAGATACTACTACAGTATTATTACCTTGTTTTTTCCCAGATGAGAAGTGTGGATTATTTTGTTTTGTGGCCTGTATCATTAACTTTCTGTAATTCTTTGTGTGCTGTGTGTATTATTTTTATTGACCTTACCATAAAATTTAGGAAGGTTAATTGTCAAAAGAATTTATACCTCTGACAACAGGTGGATGTGTACATCTGCTTGTGTGATCTGCAGCTTCAGTGGTGTAAGACGAGGAGGGCTACTGGCGTGTTTACCTTCTTGTAGTCTCTTCTTCCAAAGAGTTAACTATACCTTGTATACCGCACTCCTGCCCCATTTTGACTTCTGAGATGAAAATATTTACTAAAATGAAAAAGAAATCTAGCTAGCTTACTAACTTTATGGTTTTCCAAAGCGATGGAAAATTTTAAGGCTATATTAAGTGTAAACATACTAATAATTACTTTTAAGAAATAAAAACAGAAATATTACCTTTTCCCAGAATATATTTGTACTGAAGCATAAAGGGGTGCTAATGTGATCTTTCTCCTGACAAATTATAAAAGCATTATGACTTGTAACAAGTTTCCTTATATATCATTATCGAACAGGTTTAGAAGACATATAAGTGTGTTTGCCTACATGCTGTATTTAGATCCATTATTATTTTCCTATTGCCTTTTTCTATACATGCACTTAACGTGTATTAAAAGAAGTGAGATAAATAAAACAATTTTAGTATCTTCATGTGTATAGACAAAACATTTTTGTCATGGAATTTAAAAGTAAATAAGTTCAAAAAATAAAATTTTTATATGATGAAAATGGGAAACCTGAAATTGAACTTCTGCCTCTGGCCAAGATGGAATACTAGAGATTGGATTTACCCATCTGAAATTTTGAAAATACACGAAAGATATGAAACAGTTTTCAAATATTAGACATTAGGCAGCACAGGACAGTGATCCCTGAGAAAGGGAAGCAAGGGAGACCCAAGACACTCAGTGAACCCCAAGAACAAGATAACTACACCAAAGCACATCATCATCCAGCTCCTTAAAACCGGTGACAAAGGAAAGTTCTTAAAGCAGCTAAGGTCAAAAGACACAGGAACAAAGATAGGAATGTCAGGGACAGTGGAGCAACATCTTTAAAGTACTGACAGAAAGAAACTCAACTTAGAGTTATATATACCCAGCAAAGATATCAAGAACAAAAATGAAATAAAAACTTTTTCAGACCTGAAAAGGCTGTAAGAATTCGTCATAAGCAGACTTGCCCTACAGGAAATGTCAAAGGATGCCTTTAGTCAGAAGGAAAATGGTACCAGATAGAAATCTGCTTCTATGCAAAGGAATGAACAGAACCAAAAATGGCGTGAACAAATGTAAGACTTTTTTCTTATTTTAAATTATCTTTAAAGGATAATTGACTATTTAAAGCAAAAATAATAACAAGGTATTGCGTGATTATCATAGGTAAAGTGAAATGTCTGACAACAGTATTACCAAGGATGGGAGGCGGGACATGAAAGTATGCTCCTCTAAGGTGCGTACACTAACTGCGGGGCAGTACAACATTACCTGAGTATCGTCCCTGATAAGAATGTGTACTGTAAACCCTAAAGCAACCGCAAAAAGAAAAACTGTTACAACTAATGAAGATGATAAAATGTAGTCATTAAAAATATTCAATCCAAAAAAAGGAAGTAAAAGAAGAAAGTTGAACAAAGCATAGATGGGACAAATAGGAAACAGTAAGATGGTGGCTTTAAATAACAACATCAATAATTACATTAAATAAATTGTCAGTTACCCTTATCAGATTGAGTCTTTTTTATCCAACTATATACTAAATTCAAGAAATCCACTTTAAATATAGAGACAAATAGTTTCAATACAAAAAGAAAGAAAAAATTAGTATACTGGATTGAATGCACATGAACAAATTATCAAAATTTATGGGAATCAGCTAAAGCAGTAAGTACAGGGGAAATTATATTAAATGTCTATATTAGAAAAAGAAAGGACTCAAATCAATGACTTCAGCTTCTACTTAAGTTAGAAAAATAAGAGCAAGTGAATCTCAAAATAAGCTAATGAAAGAAATCACTGCAATAGAAAACAAAACCCATTGAGAAAATCAGTGAAATTAAAACCTAGTCTTTTGAGGTCAATAAAAGTGATACACCTTTAGCCAGACTGATGAGGGGGGGAAAAAAAGGACACGTAAGTTACCAATATCAGAGTGAGAGAAGTGACATCATTACAGATTCTACAGGAATTTCTGACAAAGAAAATGCCAAACCTAAATGGCTACACTGGTGAATTCTTTCAAATGTTTAAAGAAGAAAATATCTCAGTTCTCAGCTAGTGCTCCCAAGAAATAGAAGAGGGGATGATTCCCAACTCATGCTATGAGGCCGGCGTTACCCTGACACCAAAATCACAAGAAAACTACAAACCAATATTCACCACGAGCACATGCCAAAGTTCTAGATAAAATTTCAGCAATTTGAATCCAATGAATTGTAGAAAGGATAATTTATATGACCTAATAAGATTTAGCTCAAGAATTCAAATTTGGGCTAACTTTAGAAAATTAGATTCATTATATTAACAGACTGACAGAAAAACCATACAATCATTTCAGTAAATGCAAAAAGAGCATTTGATGAAATCCAACATTCATTTCTGATAAAAGCTCTTGGCAAAGTAGGAATAAAAGAGAACTTCCCTAGCCTGATAAAGGGCATCTTAAGAAAAACCTGCAGCTAACATTGTACTTAATGGTGAAAGACAATGCTTTTCCCCTAAGATCAGAGACAAAGTAAGGATGTCTGCTATCCCCCTCCATTTGGCATTGTTTTGGAGTTTGTAGCCAAGACAATTAGGCAAGAAAAAGAAATGAGAGTCATCCAGATTACAAAGGAAGAAGAAATTCTCTTCACATGGTATATTCAACTCTACAGAAAATCCTACAGAATACATAAAAAATCTAAAACTAATAAGTTTAACAAAGTTACAGTATACAAGACAAAAATGAGTTGCATTTCCATATACTACCATAAAACAAAAATTTGAAACTAAAAATACTGTTTACAGTAGCATCGTAAATATGAAATACTTAGGTGTAATTCTGATAAAAGTTATTCAAGACCTGTACACTGAATTCTACAAAACATTACTGAGAGAAAGGGAACCTAAGTAAACAGAGTGACATGCCATGTTCATGGATTGGAAGGCTCAATATTGTTAAATGTCAATTCTTCCCATATTGATTTACAGATTCAGGATAATCTCAATAAAAATCGTAGCAGAAACTATTTTTCTCTTCAGCTGTGTCTACTTTACTGTTTACCTAATCTGGTAAGTATTTAATGTCAGCTGTTTCATCTTTTTAGCTTAGAATTTCCATTTGGTTCTTTTTTAGAATTTCTAATTCTCTGTTGAAATCTTGTAATTTAATTTCTTAAATCTATTAATCTTAGTTTTTTAGAGTCTGTGTCTGATAACTATTATCTGGGTATCCTATGCATCTCCTTTTACATTCTTTCTCTCAGTTTTTGGTTACATTGTGCCTTCTAGTCTTGAACATTTCTTTATTGAGGATTGACATGGTTATAGATAATTGTAAAAGTACTTTGAGCCTCTAAATGCTGTTTTCTTCTCCCACAGAAGATTTACTTTCACTGTGGCAGGCAGCTAGGCTAGGGGAATGGGCGTTCCCATATCACCTTAATCCAATCAAGGATTGAGGTGATTCCAAGTTGAGTTTGAGGACCTGGTTTATTCTTATTTTTAAGGTGTAACCCTTCAGAGTTCCAACCAAACCCTTGGGGTTCAATCAGAGCCATCCTACTTGGTGAGTCATGATCTCTAATTTTTGTCTCTCCAACTCTGTCGGTCTTTTCAAAGTTCTTCTTATCTTACTGATGATTGGATGTTCTCTTTTGCAGTTGAAGTTAACAGAATGCCAGATGAGTTAGTACTGTAGATAACCACTGTATCTCATCTAAAATATTTCCATCAAAGAATTATTTTGTGTATTAAATTATGGAGTTCCATATCCTTAACTTAGATGGGGCTCTTAAAGACTACAGAGAGATAAAGATGAAGAGAGAGTATGTTTCCATTTATGTTACCTGTGGGAAAATTAAGGGTGTGGCTATAGAAAGTATAGTTAGAACCTCTGAAAGGAAAAAAGGTGTCTTTTTGATTATCAGAATGTGGTTTGATAAGCCCTGGGAATTCCCAAGATCCTTTTGGGGACCCGTGCACTCAAAATTATTTTCGTAATAATACGAAGACATTGTCTTTTTCATTCCTACTTTCTCATAAGCATAGAGGGGAGTTTTCCAGAGGTTACATGGCATACAATTACATCATTGCACTGATATCTAATGGAATGGGTGCTTGTGTAGTTGTACTTTCTAGAATTTTCTAAGGGAAGCTCTTTGGAGTCCTCAATAATATTTAGTAATATAAAAGATACCTGAGACTAAGAGAATTGAGAGCCTGCAGTATACCTTTTCAGCTGGTAAAAAGGACACTCGGAAAGCTTAAGAGCATGGTGCCACATTAGTCTAATATGTGCTTAGCAGCAGCAATTAAGCCAAGAGTGAGAGAGAGAAGCATGTCTAGAAAAGAATTGTGAGGGACCCACCCAGTTATGTAGTGGTTAGGTTTGTGTGCTCTGATTCAGCGGCCTGGCGTTCATGGGTTTGGATCCTGGGCATGGACCTACACACCACTCATCAAGCCTTGCTGTGACAGCATCCCACATACAAAATAGAGGAAGCTTGGTACAGATGTTAGCTCAGGGACAATCTTCCTCACCAAAAAAATAAATAAAATTGTGGGTACACAGAGTAGACTGAAATTGAATGCATAGAAATTCACAGTGTTTTAGACAATTTGAATTAGCAACAACACTGCCATCTAGGACTAAAAGAGATTGAAGCTTTTCAAAAATATTTAAATCTCTTGAGTTCCCAACTTTCTAATGCAGGAGGCAGGCTGAGAATGTTGTTCAGTTGCCAAAATGGCATATCTTCCAAAGCCCTTTTCAGAAATGGTTGAAGAGGAGGATGAAAAAGAAAGGACGTCTCAAAGAACAGAGTCAAAAACAGTGGAGAACAATGGACTGCGGAGGCGCTCCAGGGAGCAGAACCCAGGCCTAATCAAGAAACATCCCCATCTACAGAGCACCGTTTCCCCAGCGGGATTTCAGAATTCCTATAGGCCGGTGACTGCCATGAGCCTGCCATTCTTCCTAAAGGGGAGTGTTCATTGCAGTTATCGTGTCCCAGCTTCACCATGGTTTATAGGCCCTGTATGTGTATGTGTGTGGGCTGGGGTGGGGGCAGATAGCTCATTTTTTTGTTCATTGTTCTCTGAACAAAAAGCAATCATTGTTCTTAGCAAGATGAGACACATCTGGATCTAGTGTAGGTTACAGGATCACAAACTTTGAGTCTGATGCTATTACGGGACGTGACTTTTGAGAGTCCTTGGGTGGGCGTGAGCATATATTGTACATACTGTATTTGGGAGGAATGTGAGCAATTGAGGCCCAGAGGGCAGAGTGTGGTGTATTGCATTATTGTTACCGGTCCTTCACTCCTGTATTCCTGCACTTTGCCATTGACTTTCCAGTTCCTATTACTAAAGAGGTGGAGTATATTTCCCCACCTTCTGACTTTGGGTTTGGCCATGTGGCTTGCTTTAGCCAATAAAGCAGAAA